ACATGTTGCCATGCCTACCCTGAACACTGTGTTTGGGCATGTTGAACTCTCATGTGAACATTTCAAGAAGAAGCTCTGAGAAATGTTTCTCCTGTCACCAGACTGCTCAGTTTCATCTAAGAACATCTGAGGGAAAGCAGAAAGTCTCAATGCAGATTAGTTCACATCAACTTCAATGTTATAGTTTGTAATATTTGTCAGATTTCTTTTCAAACTAGATATTTATACATTCGCTTGTGGTGTTTATATTTGCATAAATGTGCTTTTACTTTAGATTTCATGTTGAAAGGAAACAGTGACAGCAATAATAACTACTTCCTGATTGTCAATATCATCATGCCTTGGCATATACACACCTGGTTAAGACAAAGAATTTAACCTATATTTACAAATTAACTTGTGGGAAGTGTACCTGCAAAATACTGGTAGAATCTGCTTCATAGTATACAGCAAGCACAACACTATAGTCCCTGATGGCTGTGTTTTTTATGGTTACAGTGGACCAAAAATGCATTGCAAACTATATTTATATTAAATGAAGCAAAAAATACAACCGTTAAATGCCTTAACAAGCCTGGTTATCATAATAATAAAAGAGATGCAATCGTTAAATGTTAAATAAGTAAAATAGTAGCTTGACGATATTGAACAAACTAAGTTGACTTTACATAGGCGGGACAGTAGGGGGCAGACGCCCTGGTTTGTGTTCATTCGCATTAAAATAATGTTAGAAGAAGACGTGCAGTGGAAACCCCGGTGCATGCTGGGAGTACGAAATGAACTACAATGGCGGCTAAGGACCGAATGCTCCCAACTTTTATTCTGAAATGTTTATTTTTATCATTTCTCCATCACTCATGTGCGGAGGAGGTGCAGTGGGACGATAATGGATATGTTTTATACTGCCCCTGCATGGGTAATGGCTCTTTATTGTCTAAATTAAATACATTTTTAGTAGAATTGAACTAGCTAGTCCAAAGATATGTCTGCTTTAAAAGTAAAATGGTGCCTTGAGTTAAGCATCTGTTTTAAACTGCGCTTAGAGCAATTATTGAAGTAACAAATAATACATTTAAAATATAAAAACACACGTAAATAAAAATGATATGCGACCGGAGTAAGTTACCAACCACTGCAGCTTATAGTTCGGAAGTTTGTCGTTGTTTACAAATAATAATAAAAACTGCTAAACTGTGTGAACTGGTTGAGCAGATGTAATTATGTTGCGTAGCAATAAAGACGTGGTTATTGTGGCGTTTTCATATTTGTTTCAACATAGTTAACCAATAACGATGTTTAATATGTTATTGGTGAATCCCTTGTTATTCAGGTCGTTTCGGGAACCAGCTCGACCATTTCCTGGGAACTCTGGCCTTTGCAAAAATGCTGAATCGGACTCTGGCAGTTCCTCCCTTTATCGTTTACCGACACCACACGCCACCTTATACCAATGTAAGTACAGGAGTTATTCACAATGTGTAAGAAGTTATTATGCAGAAGCTTTTATTTTATTGTATAAAATAATATTTTATTTTTATGTTTTAATATTAGATGTCATTAGGTCAGTAACCCTACGCACGTTAAGCAGCTCAGCTAATGCCTTGTATTTACTTGTAGTCTGTTAGTTGTACTGTATTACTTTAAATATTGTTATCATTTAATTATTTGCACAAAACAGGTGCTTATTTTGACTTATGTTTCTATCATACATTTTTATACAAAGGTTCATGTTTTCCTGCATTGTTCAGGTCCATGTTCCTTACAAGGAGTTTTTTAAATTAGAGCCATTATCTGGCTACCATCGTGTTCTGAGTCTAGAAGACTTTATGGAGAAGTTGGCTCCTACACACTGGCCCACAGGACAGAGGAACGCTTACTGCTTTGAGACAGCTGCACAGCGGAGCGCAGACAAGAAATCCTGTCCTATGAAGGTAAGCAGATAAAAAAATGGAAAATAATTGTGGCAGAGTCTGTGCATCAGCTAATTGTTTTGTTCTAAATGACACCTTTTTAAAACATTTGCTAGCATAAATACAGGTTAGATAAATCTAAAAATGGTCGTTGGTGAACGTTGAAGAGATATTCTTTCAAGTGAAATCCTGCCCCCTGGTGACCAAAACACAAAAGACCAAGATATAGTTGTAATCTCATAAGTTACGTGTTGTGTATCATGGCCCTGGCACTATCTAATTGGTCTGACTGATTTATAGGATGGAAATCCATTTGGTCCATTCTGGGACTACGTTGGTGTGGATTTTGACAAGTCGGTCTTATTTGGTGGGATTTCTTTCAGTGCATACCACCAATCACAATGGATGAAGAAGTGAGTACTTGTAATCAGTTTTTGGTTGTTAAGTCTGGATTCACAAAAATGCAGAATGGGAGCCTCATTGTGGCGAATATACTGTGTATGTATATCTATAAATGTGTTTATATCTATGTATACTGACATATGCAGCAGCAAAGTGCTATATCTTTGGCATCAGTGGAAAGGGTTTATTTTTTGGACAACGAAAGAAACATCTCTGCTCTGTCGCCTCACGGACAGTTTCTTTATTATATACCATTTGCCCTGTCATTTTAAACCAAATGTTTGCATGCCTTGACAAGGCGAAAATAATCTGAAACCTGCTGATTCTGACCTGTGGTAGGTCGATGGCTATGTCTATATATTAAAAACGTAGTAAACCTAAAACTAAAATGTTTTCCAAAAGTCTTATGTCCTCACATTTTTTATGTGACCAGGTTTCCTCCATCTGAGCACCCAGTCCTGGCCATGCCCGGGGCCCCAGCCCAGTTCCCAGTGATAGAGGACCATGTTGGACTGCAGCGTTATGTAGTGTGGTCAGACACCATGGTGAAGGAAGGCGATGCGCGTATTTCTAGCTTGCTGACCAGGCCATACGTTGGCATTCACCTGAGGATCGGCATTGACTGGGTGAGGTCCAATGCCTTAGATTTAGCAACAGTTATTCCAAAATTGTGTAAAACCATGTGGGAAATGCTAGCCAAAAGATAAATACAGTGACTGTTTGGGAAACTGGGTAGGCTCTGTTACAAATTGGGGCTACATTTTAGTCAGAGGAAAGGACCATCTTTTGTTATTGTGAAAATATGTATTTATTTTTTTAAGTCAAAGTTAATTTTACTTGACAAATATAACATTTTTTTCCGATTTCTGTGGGGATAACATACAGACAGGAATAATTGGTAGATGTAGATTGTTGTATGTTTAATAATTCTAACCCTTTTCATTTTTATTTCCCCCCCACC